TAAATTTGTTAGTCTCTAAGGTGCCACAAGTACTCACATTAAGAAAAGTTATGCAGTTTGCAAAGTCGAGCACTCAGAAGCACTCAGAAATGCCAGAAATAAGGCTGCCTGCGATCTGAATTCGGCACCCTTGTGCGTGTGCATTTTGACACAGTCTTTTTAATGACACGATTGTGTGTTGTCAGGGTTCTGGGGAAAACACCACAGGACGGTACAGGCCTGAATGGAGGGTTTGATTTTCACCCAGCCTTTACTGCCCTGCATCTTGCAGAGCTTGGTTCTGGTGCACTGGAGCAAGGGGTGCTACACGTCTGCTTACATCCCCCAGCCCTCAGAGTAACGGGGCTGGGACACCAGGAGGAGTCACTGCCTCCTGCACTGGCCTTGGGGGCATCCAGCGAGACACTGGCCCTGAACAAGGACTTTGTCTTATGGACACAGTCTAGCTCATGGAAAAGCCAGCCCCCCTCCCCCGGTGACACTTCAGAAAGTTACGAGCATCTGAAAACAGGGATTGACAATAGGTCCTGTGCTGCATTCCTCATGGATACATTCACTCCCAGTGCCACATAGTTATCAAGTTAGTAGGACACTGAACTTTCCAGCTCAGCTTTAACTCCCACTCCCATTTGTGAAGACAGAACTTTGTTAATTCAGTGTCTGATTCTAGATGACAGATCAACAGCTGCTGAAATATTTTTTAAAATCCTGGGCAATGGCAAAGCGGGCTGCGCGTGGAGAATGGACTACAATGGGGAGATGCTAGCACAGGTGGGAGGGAGATGGCGGTATTGACTGTTCTGCTCTGGTTCCGCAGGGTATAACGCCTGGAGGCAATTCTGTGGGCTCTCACAGCCTCACAACTTAGCTGAACTCTCTGAAGTGCTGAGAAATCCCAAGCTGGCCAGGAAGTTCATGGACCTGTACGGGACAGCAGACAATATCGACATCTGGATTGGGGCTATGGCTGAGCCGTTTGTTCCCAATGGCAGAGTGGGACCTCTCCTGGCTTGCATCATTGGATCTCAGTTCAGGAAATTGCGAGATGGGGACAGGTAGGCTGACTGGAAAGTGAATCTCCACTTCCATTTTATTTACAAAAGAACAATTGGCAGTTGGTGTCATGTGCTGTTCCAGTCCCTCACCGATGGGCTTGCTTGGTGTTCCAAATGCCACGGCCCAATACCGGAGTTTCATTCACAGTTATTAAAGGGGCGCCTGTCACGGAGTGGCACCCCCCCACTTCCTGCGATTCACCGTGACGCTCAGCCAGCCAGTAACACAGAAGGTTTATTAGTCGACAGGAACACAGTCCCAAGCAGGGCTTGTAAGTACAACCAGGACCCCTCAGCCAGGTCCCTCTGGGGGGCAAGGATCTTAGACCCCAGACTTGGGTTCCCTGCCTCTTCCCAGCCAGCCCAAAACTGAAACCAAAAAAACCCCCTCCAGCCGGCTCTCTCCCTTTGTCCAGTTTCCCAGGCAAAGGTGTCGACTCCCCCCACCCCCCTTCCTGGCTCAGGTTACAGGCGCAGGTACCGTCCCTCACCTAAAGTCATCCCTTGCTCTCCCATCCCCCATGCAGACAGTCCAGTAAAACTAAACGACATTCCCAGGTCAATCTACCCCGCTCCCTACTGCATCACAGCGCCCCTGTGGGAAGGACAGTTGATTAACCCCTATGTGGCCAGACAGCTCCACTCACTGGTGCATGGATGGTCTGTAGAGGGCTGTGAAGAAAGGTGAAACACTTCCTTAAATCTCTTTTAAAGGTGGTAATTTCTGGGGTTATTTATCCTGTGTGTATGAATCCGGCCTGCTTCAAACCAACATGAAAAATACAAACACTATGTCAATTTTAATTTCTGTTTCATATATTGCCACTTTTAAAACATTTCTTAGAAATGCAGGTTTAATTTGACAGTTAACGTTGCAACAGAGTTTTCCTTTTAACAATGATGTTACCACCATTCTCCCATAATTTATGCCATGCAAAAACACTACATTAAGAAAAGTTTCAGAGTAGAA